CACCTTGTTGTCTCGGATTCTCCAGCATCTGCAGTTCCTACTATCTCCCATTACAAGGATCCCATTTTACATCAGCTTCATTAAACTGATGGATCACTGCATACAATCTGAGATTGTCCAAAATACTCAAATAAAATGTAATAGTTTGCAAGGCCTGAAAATTGATGACAGAACTCTTTGCTCAAGTAGATTTGAAAACAAGTGGCAAAACAGGACTGAATATTAAATGGAGAAACCAGCAAGCTTTAGGACAAAAATGATGACTTCAGCACTGATTTTTAAAATTCATTCATTGGATGACAGTGTTGTTGGCTGTCTATCCCCAACTATCCTTGAAAAGTGCCCTTGAAGTTTCTATAAGAAAGTCAGACTTTATTGAAAAAATGTAAAGATTCAGTGCTTGTGCAGTGAATACATAATTTAGAAAATTATATTTATATCCCATCTGACATAAGTAATGGATTTCTCTGTGGTTTTCTTGATATGTTTATGGCTCAAGATTATTGCTGCCAATGGTTGAATAGTTGAAGCCCGTCTGCAAAAATATTTTAAGCTTGGCAAAGCAATTTGCTTTCTATCAATTTGGGCATGGCAGCGTTGTAATTACATAACTGCAGCAGTATTGCAGAGAATACGGACTGGATTTTCCTGACCCGGTGGACATTGGGGTTTCAAGCAGGAGAGCTGGGAAAATAGAGTAGAGTTGCTGTCTCTGGAGGCAGCTTCTCGGCTCGGGAAGGGAAGGGATCCAGCAACCTGCTCTAGTGAAGCAAGAAATTACGCCAATCAAGGGTCCAAATAGGGCTGTTTTCCAACAGAAATAGGATCTTCCCAACCTCTCAGTGTATCCCCCCACCACTCCTATAGTTTGCAATTCCTTTAGGAAGCAGGTTCCCAGCTAGTGGCTCCCTATCTCAGTACAGCCACTGCCAAGACATAAGCTAGTCATGTGGAAGATTTCCTTCTCTGCACCACCAGCCTTACCTGCTGTAAGCCTCTTCAGTTTAACAAAGCTGAGGCATTGGATTAGCTAGCGTAGTTTCCTATCTGTCTCTGCAGTGTTTATCTCTCTTTATGAATATCTTCCATGTATATCTTTCCAGATATAGCAGGCAATAATAGATCTGTACAGAAGCCCAGGTCATCCTTTTGCTTCTTACTTAAAAGCAATTCAGTTTCTATCCAATGGTTTTGATTTTTTCACCGTTCAATTTATGTACTTCTATAAATCCTACCCTGTACATTCCACTTTTACATGTTTAATATGAACTGAAACAAGCATTTGCAAATTACACAGTGCAAACTGCTGAGCCTCCAGTGAGGTTGCTAGAAGCATAATAAAAGTTTGCCTGGCTGATCAGATCACACAATCATTGAATAGTGACAGTATGTGTGGAGACCATTCAGCCCACTGTGCCTTTGCTGCTTCTCTGCAAGAGCAGTCCAGATTCTTTAAAGTACAACTGGGTGAGTAGCTGTTCAAAGCCAAGAGTTGAAATTACAGAAAGAGACAGAGACACAAAGTTGTACGTTTTATCCAGACTTGTATTTAGATTGAACTCAAATAGCATGGAGTTTCTCAATTCTTACCAAAAGAACTGCGGATGCTGTAAATCAGGAACAAAAAAACAGAAGTTGCTGGAAAAGCTCAGCAGGTCTGGCAGCATCTGTGAAGAAAAAAAAATCAGAGATAACGTTTTGCGTCCAGTGACCCTTCCTCAGGCCCTTCTGAGGAAGGCTCACTGGACCCAAAACATTAACTCTGATTTTTTCTACACGTGTTGCCAGACCTGCTGAGCTTTTCCAGCAACTTCTGTTTTTGTTTTCAATTCTTACCTCTTGCTGATCTTTCGGGCATTTTATCAAGACACTTCCCAGCAGAGATTTACGATCCACAGGCTCATTACAGGACGTTTCGATTGAATCAGAGTCCTTTGATGCAGGTACGACTTGCTCATCGATTAAATTCTGCTTCTGCTCAGGAATTTGAGCAACACGGAATCTGTTCAAGAAATGTTGATAATTCAGAAAATGTGTTATTGTGAAATATGAACCAATGTCCAGTACTACTTTAATTCGGGATTAGGCTAGGATTCTATTCATCAAACATCCAAATGACCTAAACAAGTGCGATGTCCTAATTTATTTATTATACAGGAAGTTTTATTTGTGGTATATAGAGGATGTTTCCTGCAAACAAACACAGAATGACCTAATTCCAGTCAGAAGCTGAAAGCCTCATCATCTAAATAAAAGCAAAATACTGTGGAGGCTGGAAATCTAAAATAAAAATAGAAAATGCTGGAGAAATTCAGCAGATCAGACAGCAGCTGGAAATAGATTGCTGTTTCTTCAGTGTCGCTTGGTCAAAGTCCAGTTACTCCGAACGGCAATGTGAGTCAATCTAAATGAAATGGACTGCAGCAGTTCTACAAGGCAGCTCACCATCACCTTCTAGGGATGGACAATAACAACCGAATTTTAAAGAAAACAGTAGCACTGGTGGGAGCAATGGCCACTAGCGGAAACTGCGGTCAGGTGATGACAGACCAGAATTTTCCAAGTGTTCAAAGGCCATTGAAGAGTGAGTGTCCAAGATACCATGGGCAATCTGGGTAAGGAAGGTTACACCTTCAGGGTCCAATGGGCAAACCTGCTGGGTTGGCCACTTAATATGGGGGTCTCAGGTTACAGGTTGAGTGCCTGCCTTAATTGTCCACTTAAGTGCCTCAATTGGCCCATTGGTTGCCAAATGTCATTCCCACCACTGGTACAATTGCAATGGGGATAGCAGCAGACAAGAGTGCCCACTGGATTTAATGTGATCACTGTTGGAGAATGTAAAATTCAACCCATAAAATGGGAAATTCCCTGATCTGTGAAATATTAGCCTGACTATTTTCCACAATAAAAATACGACTTGCATTGGATCTCCACGCTGAGGGTGAGTAATTATTTTTTGAGCTGTGATGATGCCTTTTGAGGAAGGTGATTAAATTGAGATAATTTTTTATAAACTTGTATATGTGTATAGGGAGGAAGAAAGATTAATTAATTTGTCTAGAATCAAAAAAAAGTACATCTAAATATACAGATGTCTTCCATATTCTGTACTGATTAAACTTCAAGTATCTTGCTGACATTGGAATGAAATGTTAAATTAACTAACTTCAGATAGACAGTAGTTGTAGTTCCACCTGCCGTATCCTGGTTGGCACACTAGTTTTGTGTGTGTGTGTGTGTTGTGTGTATGTGTTTTGTGTGCGTGTGTGCACGTGTGTGTGTGTGTGTGTAGACAATGGCTGTGATTAAATAACCCGTCAATGCTCATTGCCTGCATTCACACAAAACTGATTGTACTTGAGTGATGCACAAGGAGGGGCTGACGCCTGTGAACACATACCACAACTAGAAACAGTTACTTCAGGAGAGAAAGGAGTCAACTGGCAAGGGAAGAGGTGAAGAAATAGGATAAATCTAATTAATAGTACCTAACAAACCCAAGAGACGCTTCTGAATGATTATCAGAGTTGTGTAGAGCATTAACACTAGCACAGACTAGTGTGGCCAAGTGGCCTGTTTCTGTGCTGTAAGATTCAGGTCCACATGATTGACACATAACACACCAACTATACTTGCACTGTGACATAACGTTCAATTGAAAAATCTTCATGCTGGAGAGAAATCACAGATTTTCTCCAAAACCAAAGCAATCAGAAAATAATGTTCACTGCAATAAGCTGCTTACCTGCCGATAGATAAGATGGTGATTTCACCAGGCCTACTATTCCGCGTTCCCACCCTGACAGGTTTTGAGGCATTCCGGACCGTCGGATTCATCAGAAGCTCCGGCCACTTCTTTTGACTGCAGCGGGTACAGCTGGATCCCAGCAGGGTTGCTGAGGTCTGCACAGTGTGAACGTGGTGGTGTTTGCAGAGCTTGGGAAAGGTTAACAATGGAGCAAACCTGGGGACAGAGTTATGAGGAGGAGAAAACCATTAGTTGTACCAGTAAATTCTAAACACTGGGGTAGGTAGACTGGGGTCATATTGGGGCTATAGAAGAGACTTGTTGAATCAATCCTGACTGATAATGACCATTGTACCAAAAGAACATTAATTTTATATGGATCCGTATATGTGTAAATGTGAAATGTTTGTATGCTAATGCATTCATTTGCTCCTCTGATGTATCTGGGCCAATTTCAACCTAACTTGGTGGGTTGATATTTTTGGATTGAGGGGCATGTTAATGTTGACATTTAACAGTTGGGGGTGGGTGGTCTTTGTTTTCTGGCTGGGGATCCCACAACCCTCCTCCTGTGTCCCTGCTGACAATACAATGTGATCCAATTTGATACTCAGACACACACTATCCAACTTTAACCATAGGATCGAAGAAGGGATAAAAGGTTACCAGCAGTAGGTGGGAATGTAAATGAGATCAGATCAGCCATGATATTATTGGATGATGGAGTAGGCTCGAGGGGCTGAATGGCCTACTTCCGCTCCTGATTTATACGTGCATATGATTTTACATCATGTACCAAGACTTCCTTCCATATTTAATTTGCTTTCTCCTCATATTGAATTTACTGCATTGCATGTTACGACCTGGTAAGGAAAAGTTACAGGCAGCACACAGCAACCAGGAGATGATAATTGATTAATTGATTGATTGACTGATTTATTGTTTTCACTGTATCTTGGTACATGTGACAAGTGTTGTTTTGCATGCTATACAGGCAGATCTTACCATACAAAGTGCATCAGGGTAGTAGAACAGAGTGCAGAATACAGTGTTATAGCCACAGAGAAGGTGCAGAGAGAGAGATCAATATTAACATTTGAGAGGTCCATTCAAAAGTCTGATGAAGAGGCTAGAGCAAGAAGGCAAGAGTCTGACAGAAAGCAACAGACTGTAATTGCAATCAGTAAGAAACCCAAGGTTTCTGATCCTCAATATAATGGAGTCAGATGTGAAATTAGCAGTAGGTCAGAGGTATGCAAATATTGTGGTGCAACAATGTGGACAAAAAAGAGACACCTTAAATATTATGCGCAAATGATACAGTACAATTGTCATCTTCCATTGTGCCATCTGAGTCACTATATCTTCTCATGGGAACATGAACAAAATCAAAACTTTTTTTTTGAAAAACATCAGAAAATAAAGCAGCAGAGCAGGATTGCCAAGAAATCTCTACTTTGGCTCAAGAAGGAAGAATTTCTGATCTAGTCATTGAGTAGTTAATGTTACAAAACAAGAGAAAGACTGAGAAAGCAGACAGTGACAATGAAAATGTACAGAGTGATACTCCAGATGTTTTTTTTAACACTGGTAAACTATTCAGAATATTAATAAACATTGAGGAAATAGGTAAATGTGGATATAGATGCTGAGGATTGAGAGAGTGGCACTGAGAGTGCAGAAAATGATTTGAAATCATATAGCAAAGGCTGTAAATTTAATCCAACTACTAACAAGACAAATTGAAAGTAAACTCATGGTGACTTTGTTTTGGTCAAATAATGTTTTTGAATATAATAATTGTGAATATATTTGTATTTCATATTTGCAGGATTAAAATTAATAATTAAAAGAATTGTATGGAAGAAGGCAAATGAATTGAACAAAATCAACTGAATACAAAGAACAAAGAAAATTACAGCACAGGAACAGGCCCTTCGGCCCTCCAAGCCTGCGCCAATCCAGATCCTCTATCTAAACCTGTCGCCTATTTTCCAAGGATCTGTATCCCTCTGCTCCCTGCCCATTCATGTATCTGTCTAGATACATCTTAAATGACGCTATCGTGCCCGCCTCTACCACCTCCGCTGGCAACGCATTCCAGGCACCCACCACCCTCTGCGTAAAGAACTTTCCACGCATATCTCCCTTAAACATTTCCCCTCTCACCTTGAAATCATGACCCCTAGTAATTGAGTCCCCCACTCTGGGAAAAAGCTTCTTGCTATCCACCCTGTCTATACCTCTCATGATTTTGTAGACCTCAATCAGGTCCCTCCTCAACCTCCGTCTTTCTAATGTAAATAATCCTAATCTACTCAACCTCTCTTCATAGCTAGCACCCTCCAAACCAGGCAACATCCTGGTGAACCTCCTCTATACCCTCTCCAAAGCATCCATATCCTTTTGGTAATGTGGCGACCAGAACTGTACGCAGTATTCCAAATGTGGTCGAACCAAAGTCCTATACAACTGTAACATGACCTGCCAACTCTTGTACTCAATACCCCGTCCGATGAATGAAAGCATGCCGTATGCCTTCTTGACCACTCTATCGTTGCCACCTTCAGGGTACAATGGATCTGAACACCAAGATCTCTCTGTGTATCAATTTTCCCCAGGGCTTTTCCATTTACCACATAGTTCGCTCTTGAATTGGATCTTCCAAAATGCATCACCTCGCATTTGCCTGGATTGAACTCCATCTGCCATTTCTCCGCCCAACTCTCCAATCTATCTATATTCTGCTGCATTCTCTGACAGTCCCCTTCACTATCTGCTACTCCACCAATCTTAGTGTCATCTGCAAACTTGCTAATCAGACCATCTATACCTTCCTCCAGATCATTTATGTATATCACAAACAACAGTGGTCCCAACACAGATCCCTGTGGAACACCACTGGTCACGTTCTCCATTTTGAGAAACTCCCTTCCACTACAACTCTCTCTCTCCTGTTGCCCAGCCAGTTCTCTATCCATCTAGCTAGTACACCCTGGACCCCATGCGACTTCACTTTCTCCATCAGCCTACCATGGGGAACCTTATCAAACGCCTTACTGAAGTCCATGTATATGACATCTACAGCCCTTCCCTTACCTATCAACTTTGTCACTTCCTCAAAGAATTCTATCAAGTTGGTAAGACATGACCTTCCCTGCACAAAACCATGCTGCCTATCACTAATAGGCCCATTTTCTTCCAAATGTAAATAGATCCTATCCCTCAGTATCTTCTCCAGCAGCTTCCCCACCACTGACATCAGGCTCACCGGTCTATAATTACCTGGATTATCCTTGCTACCCTTCTTAAACAAGGGGACAACATTAGCAATTCTCCAGTCCTCCGGGACTTCACCCGTGCTCAAGGATGCTGCAAAGGTATCTGTTAAGGCCCCAGCTATTTCCTCTCTCACTTCCCTCAGTAACCTGGGATAGATCCCATCTGGACCTGGGGACTTGTCCACCCAAATGCCTTCTAGAATACCCAACACTTCCCCCCTCCTTATGCTGACTTGACCTAGAGTAATCAAACATCTATCCCTAACCTCAACATCCGTCATGTCTCTCTCCTCAGTGAATACCAACGCAAAGTACTCATTAAGAATCTCACTCATTTTCTCTGACTCCTCGCATAACTTCCCTCCTTTGTCCTTGAGTGGGCCAACCCTTTCTCTAGTTATCCTCTTGCTCCTTATGTGTGAATAAAAGGCTTTGGGATTTTCCTTAACCCTGTTTGCTAAAGATACTTCATGACCCCTTTTAGCCCTCTTAATTACAATGAATGCTTCCAATAAATTACATCACAGAAACATTTTTGTGGTCTGGCATTCTTACCCCATTCAATCCAGGTGCCCACAAGGTAAAAATCTCAGATTAGCTCATAAGAACAATTCCTTTACCTTATAGTTTTAAGATCATATATTTAACTCGTACCCTTTAGTTCCTCAATACACTTGTCAATTACTAGCAACCAATTTAAGTTTATAGTGTATAAGCATTTCAGTATTTTCAACTTGATCATTGACAAAAAGGTGGTTACTACATAGGACATAAGAACTAGGAACAGGAATAGGCAATTCAGCCCCTCGAGCCTGCTCCACCATTTAATACAATCATTACTTGACCTCAACTTCATTTTCCTGCCAGCTGTCCATAACCTTTCAACCCATTACTAATTCAAAATCTTACTTTCTCATCAATTTACTCTATGTCCCAGCATCCACTGAACATTGGATGGTGGATTCCACCAATTCAGGATCCTTTGAGTGGAGTAATTTCTCCTCGTCTGTTTTAAATCTGCTACCCCTATCGAATCCTAAAACTATGACCTCTTGTTCTAGACTGTCCCACAAGACATTCTCTCTACGTCTATGATGTCAATCCCCTTTAGCATCCTATATACTTCATTTTGAACTCCTTTCTTTCTTCAAAACTCTGCATCAATAAGTTATCAATAAGTGCAGCAGACACAAGTGAAACCAAGGCTAGACCTTCAAATGACTGAATTCTGAATGGGGAAAAGACTCAGCAACATTCATGTCAATGATTCAGTACAAAAGGACCAGCCAAGAACAGAACAGTAATTTGCAGTAAGATTTCATTGAATAAATGAGGACAATGTCTCACCAGCAAGAACTGCTTTGAAATTAAATTTACGCCAAGAAATGTGATTAACAATTTCTTGTCTTTCTGCAGTCAGGAAATGACTGATTGATTACAAACCTACTAAGATCATACAATAGAATCCCTACAGTACAAGTAGAGGTCATTTGACCCATTGATTCTGCGCTGACCCTTCAAAGAGTATCCCACTGAGACCCACTCCCCCACCTGGTATTTACCCAGGCTAATCCACCTAGCCTACACACATCTCTGGATACTACAGGGCAATTTAGCATGGCCAATCCACCTAGCCTGCACATCTTTGGACTGTGGGAGGAAACCGGAGCACCCGGAGGAAACACACACAGACACGGGGAGAACGTGCAAACTTCACACAGTCACCCAAGGCTGGAATCAAACCCAGGTCTCTGGCACTGAGAGGCAGCAGTGCTAACCACTGAGCCACCCCAAAAAAGAGGGAGTAAAATAAAATAAAATCAGAGGGAAAAGACTTGAATGTGTACCTGGTAAATATTTGTAAGAGAGGGTGATCCCAGGTCAAGTGTTTGCTTGTTATTCATGAAATGGGTGTTGATTACATCGTCAAGTCAGTTGCTAAACAGTCACCTAACATCAACTGACCATCCATTTGGTTTTGTATTTTCAATTTTCAGATAAAGGGGGAGGCATTTAGATGGTGAACAACATGCTGTTATCAATGACCAAGAACAGGATTTCGGAGCTGAGTGATCAAACTGCTGAGGGAATTGTCTTTAAATTAATAGGATACCACTGAAAATTGCCACTGGAATCTTCAGACACAAAATCCCTACACACAGAAAATCCTTTAGTATATTGTTCAGAAAGGCCCAGCAACTAATGGTAATAATGGAAATAGAGTCCATCAATGCTTGCTCTACCTAAGTCAAGTGCATCTGCATCCAGTAATATATACAGGTGACTGGCTGCCAGCCATCAAATATAATTTTCCATTCTCCAAGTAACCCATACACTCGTGCTCTGTGCCAAGGTCACCAGAGACACGTGTACAGCAAACCATCCATCTCGTGGTTGTGACTGGGTGGGTGGTTACGTGTTTAATAATTCATCACCAAAAAGCTGCTACTGAATTTATAGACAACACCCTACTTGAAAGATGGGGTTTGATAGCAATCAATTAGTTCATGAAAAAGAAAATCAGGTGACTCAATTGCCTGGATGTAACATGTTGCAAACTCAAGCATGGTGGGTTTGGGGGGTGCACTGGGGATTGTGGTGAAGTTTACCTCCATTATGCTTTAAGTGCAGACTGAGCTAAAGTTTCACTGTGGCCTAACAGATGATTCTTTTTGTCTGTTTACACTGACTCCAAGGATTCCTGCTGAGAGTGTGATGGGATAGAATGATACAGTTCACAAGTAGGATGAGTGAGGGGAAGAGAGGGGTTATAGGTCATCATATTTGATCATCAGCCAGTTTCTTGGATCTAATGTGCACTGTTAACAAGGATCTGAAAATCGATTGGCCAATTAAAGGTGAGATAGCAGCTTTCTTTTCTGGCTAATTAAAGATTTAGACAGCACTATTTGTAGTGGATCCACAGTGGCCTCTTACTTTCCTACCAATCATTCGAAACACAAAGTCTACACTCCATCTAAAGTTTGGGTTTGAAAAGAGCATGGTTTGAAACACTGGAAGTTTCCATGCTCAAAAGTGGGCAGCATAAAATCAACATTGCAAAAAATACTATGAATGCTGCTTATCAAGAGAGGAAGAATTCTTGAATAAGGCATTCCAAGCCTGATGATTATTTAGGTAGATAACCACTTTAAATCATTTGGAAAACTATTCATTATTACAAGATGGGCACTAAGCACTTCAAATGGTTAATCTGTTATGAACGTGAAAAGAGTTTAGCTGCTTATGTTACTATTGACAATGTTTTTATTCACCAGAGCCACTCCTCATCGCTTTTGTTGACTGAAGCACACCAGGTGAAATTGTTCCGAGATCAGTGGAGTGCAGAAAATGTGGCAGTAAACTCGGACAGTTCAGACTCTGAGAAGGAAGTTATCCAGATGGTGCTGCTCTCGGCTAATACAGACCCAGGAAAATCTCCCTTCATTGCATAGCTCAATGCGGCAGCCAGGTCAACAAATATTGAGCAGAGAAAGGACCTTCCATAACAGGGTATAGAACACAAAGTCAAGCATAACTTGAGAAGAGTGGTTTCATTTCCGTTTCCAGTTCCATTTTGTTTTATAGAGCAGTTGAGAAGCAGCTCATTAAATGGCAGTGTCACCATGACAACACACGCCACGGTGCTTACACACACAAGCATTGAGGGACTGCAGTGATCACTTTCAATAAAAGATATTTCAATCAGTACAATAGTAAATTTCAGATCAGTTCATAGAAGCAGTTGACCTATGTGTTTTATAGAAATAAACTTTTTTCAAGGCCACGGATATTAGTGGTGGTAATCAAGAAACATTCTCATTTGAGGCAGCCTTTGAGAGCATCAAACATTGCCAGATCTGGTTAAACAGAGTGAGATACTCTGCAGAAATATCATTTAAAATGTCCATGGTGCTATTATTGTAAAATTGTAAACACGTGCTTGATTATGATTTTGGGAATACGACTGGAATTTGTTCCCAAAATCCCCTAAACAGACACCATTGCTGAACGTAGTGTTACACTGTTCAGTTGAGCCAATCCTCCAAGTGCTCGCAGGGATGTTTAATCATGACTACTCATTTACTCACTTTGTATCAGTCAGCACCACACACCAGAGGCTTTTACCCTATCAGACTAGGCCAGCTTTGAACCCAGAGGCAAAAGGGCAGTGTGTTAAATCATTCAATCCACAATAGCACTAAGGTCACACAACCACAAAAACAACTTCAGGCTGACAGGGAACAGAAGTAGGAAGTAAGTATCAACAGAGCCATTTCATCAAGGCTCTGCAACTCCAGCAAATTGTGACTCTGAAACAAAGTTTTCAACAACTCGAAGACTTACTGAAAAAAAACAAAAACATCACAGGCAACCGAAGGCATGGCTACCAGTGGCAGAGCAATTATGATTGGAAATGCACAAGAGGGCAGAATCAGAGGGTTGCACATACCTTAAAGAATTATTTATTGGAGGAGATAAAGCAGGTAGGGAGAAAAGGCAAGAGATATTCATTGCTTCCACGCAAACCTTTCATGGTGAAACACACTGATATAAAATCATAAGATTGTAAAATTTTGTAAATTCCGCATGTAAAATTAATAACTATGTGAAAGAAAAAGCTGTTTGACTGAGGGTGAAACCATCTTCCGCTGGTGTGAGGTGTTTTTTTGATTTCCCGCTGGCATTGGAAACAATGCACCTCAAGTGTGTTGACTGATTAATGGCCGGAGTGTGGGAGCGAGTCATGAGGTGAAATCTCCAGGAATAGATTTAAATCACAGTCAGCAAACGTTGACCCCAGATTTTAACATGCATGTGTGAAAAAAAAACTTACTTGTCTGCCACATTCTTGTTGGTGATCTCTGCCATGTTATCCTTGGTGATTCCTTCCTTCCTCTCGTACTCCCTTAACATCTCATCCAAGGCTGCAGCATTTTCTGTTATTCAGAGTAGAATGTAAAAAACTGATTGCATGTGATGTGCATTCCTACACTCTCCAATGCTGCTGACTGCAGAGGGAGATCTCTATGTGTTGTTTGCCAACTATAAAGACAGATGGCTTAGGCCCACAAATGAAAGTGATCTGCATCAGTATTTTATACCTCATTTAAAAATCATGCACAGTAATGAATAAGAGGAAAACTATCCTCTGAACCTTACTATAATATTTGAATTTGACATAATTAATCACAAATGACCAGTCTGAACTTGAATTTCTTGCATGCAATGGACAAAACCCCAACAACACATTGGGAGTTAAATTTTGCAATTAAAATGCAATCTTCCTCTGACTGCAATCTACAGCAATATCACATTACAGATCTGATCAGCTTCTCTGATCCGTATTTCTAAAATGTTTTTAGTTTGTGATACTGAGCAGGTGCCATCTTCACAAACACATTAATGATGTGACGGCACATCAAAACCAGGGGAAACTCTGAGCAAACAGGTTGCCCATCTTTATTTTCTGGATAAACAGGCAAAGGTTTCATTGTGCTCTGATGCTTTTCTCTTTATGGAAGTTAACACACTGCTGACTGCCAGTTTCACAGGGCTGGATTTCCTCATGGTCGTCGGGATCCTGACGTTTGAACCAAATTGCAGTCCCTAGCCTGCACCAGACCCAGGGCAGCCTCCTAATTGGGCATTCTCTGTCAGATCACAGGGTTGGCATCTCTGGAGCCTTGGCGACCCAACTGAGAGAAGTGGGCACTGCCAAAGTGGAGATCAAGGAATGGAGGGGCAGGCAGAAGCAAAATGTGATTAATTATCCAGAACGAGGAAGACAGGAGGAGTCATAGCGCACAAGGGTAAACCCACAAGGGGGTAAAATTGTTCGGGCTGGTCTTTCCTTGCTTAGATCCTAGTCAATGGGGCATGGAGCCTGTGATCTGGGGTGTCCTGCCCTGCCGTTGAGAGGCCATCTGCATTGAAGCCTTCTCCCTCGCCATTGGAACAATTGGCAGTTGGTGTTACATATTCTGAGAGATCCTGCCTTGTGACATTTAAAGGTATCAGAAAAAAAAGAAATCTTTATTCTCCTTCTCTGGACTCCAGGAAAAAGGGATTAACAACTATATATTAAGCACTTTTAACACAATGAATTGTCCCAAGGTACTTCATGGGATCATTATAAATCACAGTATGACCGAGAATGACAAGATCTAATGACAGATGACCAAAGGTTGCATGAACCAAGAGGAAAATAAGGTGAGGAGGTTCAGAGATGTAGTGAGGAAATTCTAGAGCTAGGGACCTAGGCAACTGAAGGTATAGAGTCATACAGCATGGAAACAGACCCTTCAGTCCAATCAGTCCATGCCGAGCCAAAGAATCATAGATTCATACCCATGTGGAAAAGCTGCCCTTCAGGTCCTTTTTAAATCTTGCTCTTCTCACCTTAAAAAAATGCCCCTAGTTTTGAACTCCCCCACCCTATGGCTACCAGTGGCAGAGCAATTATGATTGGAAATGCACTAGAAGGCAGAATTAGAGGAGTGCAAATAATTTGGAAGGTTATAGATAACAGGAAATAAAACAGGTAGGGAGTAAAGGCAAGAGATATTTACTGCATCCCTCCCAAACCTTTTATGGTGAAACCCACTGGTGTTAGCTGGTGAATTCACTAGTGTAATGATGGTGAATTCACTAGTGTAATGATGGTGAA